CCACACATGGGTTTCAATGTCGTGTCGTCGAAGACGTCTGCGAACTCTCGCAGTAGGTCAGCACGGATCTGCGCCAGCTTGCTAGGGTCAGGTCTGTTCACGAGACCGGTCGTCACAACGGGAGCCGTTGGAGGTGGTGTGCTGCTGGTACAAACACGCGCAACTTGCTTGGGCCAGCCGTCTGGTAAGAGGCCTAAGGCGTATAGCGATTGGCGTGACAACAGGGGTTCACGCAGTCCACGGTACACATGGATGGTGCTATCATGCTTGAGCGAGCCAATGGTGAGGGTGGCAGAGATCTTGCCAGCTGAAACGAGACGTTCACCATTGGCAGCATGCACATTATCATGGTCTGTGGCCAGATTCTCCACAAAACCACCAAGATGCGCTAACTGATCGACGCCAATAGCGTCAATGTCACTTCCCGTATCGGGGATCCATTCCAGGGAGGTAGCGTCAGCTTCAGTGCACAATTGCGTGTCGACTGGCACCGTAGGAGATGCATCACACTGAGCGCGGCGGAGCTGTAGTCGTCCCAGCGTGCGCTGCGAGGACTGGTCAGCCGGTTTGCGGGATTTTCTGCACACCGCTTGGAAATGTCCAATAATCTTGCAGCCGCTACACTTTTTGCCATGTGCAGGACACTGCGACTTGCTGGCATGGGGAGTGCGACCACAATTCGGACATTGCGATGGCGTGGCGGACGCCTGTTGCTGTCGCGGGTTATTGCCGTGTTTTGACCGCTGATAATTTGTTTTCCGAGCAGCATTGACGGAGCTAGTGCCGGGGATACTGCTGCTCGTCCGAGAGGCTGCCTCCTCCGCTCGACACAATTTAATGACTTTCTCCAACGTTAGATCGGTAGTGGCAAGGAGCTTATGGCGTGTCTCCGTGTCGAGAATGCCAGTAACCAGGCGATCACGCATGGTCTCGTCGTACCTGGTACGCTGTCCCTGCTGGCATTGGCGGCATACTCGGCTTGAACAGAAATTGCAGAGTGCAGCTTCGCTGAAATCGCAGCAATTGTGGATCTCCCTGAGGGTAGTCAGGTACTGATCGAAGGACTCTCCATGCTGCTGTTGGCGGGCATAGAAGGCGATCCGGTCCAGCAGAGGGTTACGCTGGCCGCGAATGTATGCCTGTACAGCCTTGATGAGATCGTCGTCGTCGTGGTTGTCAGCCAGAGGAATTGTGCCCTCACGAAGAAATCTCCGGAGGTCCTCGTCCAGGCACTGACGAACCGTTGCCACTCTGGTGGCATTGTCCTGGGAATCCAGGTGCTGGCACCGGGCGTAGTCCCGCCAAAGACCTTCCCATGCGGCAAACTCTGCGAGAGAGGCAGAGGCAAGTAACATAGGGCGATCGACCGAAACTGGTCTCGCCGCAGGTACATGATCTCGTGCCGGTGGGGCTGGGGGTGGACGTTGCGGTGGTGGAGGTTGAGAAATGCTCCTCAAAGTTCGCTCCACGAGCTGTGTCAGGTGGTGCTCGCGGGTGGCGGCGGTCTCCATCTGCTGTCTCATGAGCTGGGTGAGGGCAGCAATGTCAGGGCTGAGTACTGGTGTGTCTGATTCCGCCATGCCGAAACGGAAATTTCAAATAATTATTTCACTATATTTGAGAGACGAAACGCCAGAGGTACTAGCAAGACCCAGGACTGAGAAAGACTAATGGAAACTGCTACTAAAACAAGTTCACTGCGCCATGTGGTATCATCAAGTCTATGTGATGATTAGTTATATTGAAATAGAATAATGCAACGAAGGACTGAGAGAGGACGACTCGTCAGGAAACTACCAAGGAAAGACTGACCAGCAACAAGAGACATGCACTGTCGATTATGGGCACGGAGTACACACATGCATGCATAGTATGAGTAGTATGCTGTAAGGTTGTACGCACGTCCATGCAAGGAGATGCAGTAGCACAATAAGAAACATGAGAGTGCAAATATGTACGATGTACACGGGTACACCACACCCCTCTCATTACAATTGGGAACACAGCTGCCGTCATCAACGACAGCACAGAAACGTATTCGCTTCAGGCAGCAGAACAACGTGTTTCATCCCTCAGATCGCTCTTGAGGACTACAGCAATCTGCCTCCGTTTCATTGGCAAGAAGATCTGGAGCAAGGTCAGTAGCAGCACACGAGAGAAGCTACGGCCAAAGATTCCCCTCGCAGCAATGGTCTTTGATGATGCTTCGCGCACCAAGTACGTAGCAGCCAGTGATCTCAGCATCGCAGAGAAGATCATCATCAGACAACACCAACGACAGAACTTCACAGATGCGTTCAAAGCTATAGACAGCGGTACTCGTCACCCCCTTCAAGACCAGCTCGGACTTCGCCTGGATGCTGAAGGACTGCTAAGATGCCATGGAAGGCTAGACAATGCTCAGCTACCTGAAGATGCGACTCGCCCTATGCTGATATCCCGACACAGTAAGCTAAGTACTCTGATCATCCGGGAAGTTCATGCGCGTCTCATTCATGCCGGAGTGTCTCACACACTTGCCCAGATTCGACAGAAGTACTGGCTTCCACAAGGGCGAGCAGCTGTGAAAGCCGTTCTGAGTAAATGTGTCATTTGCCAGAAACACGAAGGGCAACCGTTCCGTCTACCCCAGATGCCACAGCTACCAGCAGAACGAGTACAGCAGTCTCATCCATTTCAGTACATCGGCCTCGACTATCTCGGCCCATTCAGCGTCAACATCAGCAGTACAACACAGAAGGTATGGGTGTGCCTCTTCACCTGTATGGCAACCCGTGCGGTTCATTTGGAAGTAGTGATGGGATTAACAACGGCCCAGTTCGTCAACTGTTTGAAACGATTCATTGCCAGGCGAGGACGACCTGACAAGATCATCTCAGACAATGCGCCACAGTTCAAGTTGGCACAGACGTACCTCGATCAGAAGTGGAAAAAGATCCTAACCTGCCCTGAGCTGGCCTGCTACCTTGCAGAACACAAGGTAACCTGGGTTTTCACCACTGAGTTTGCACCGTGGCAAGGCGGTTTCTATGAGCGACTAGTTGGTCTGGTGAAGCGAGCTTTCCACAAAGCCATTGGCCGCAGTCGATTCACCTACGAGCAGTTCAACACAATCACAACGGAAGTTGAGGCAATGCTCAACACACGCCCATTGACGTATGTACCGTCAGAGTCGACAGATGGAATCATCACGCCAAACCACTTCATTGCCCCAACTCGCTCACTGGGACTTCCTGACGATATCCAGTCAGATGACTACATGCCCCAACGAGATCCAGTCGCTACTATTACGTCGCTGCAGAAGAAGCAGCAAGCTGCACTGGACACGTTCTGGAAGTTGTGGAGAGATGACTATATCCTTGCACTTCGCAGCCGACAGCCAATCAACCATCGTCTCAGGAGGAGCCGAACCACTGATCCCAAGATTGGCGACATGGTCATGATCAAGAACGACCAGCTACCACGTGGAATGTGGAAGATGGGAAAAATCAGTGAACTGCATGACAGCGCGCAGGACGGCAAGACTCGTTCGGCGACAGTACAGACGACCAACTCCATCCTGAACCGACCGATCAACCACCTCTACCCGCTAGAAGTGACCGCAACGGAGGAGAAGGAGAACACTGATGTCATCGACAACGGCAGCACTGATGTTGCTAGCAGCAGGCCTCAGCGCATGGCCGCCCAGAAGGCAAAGGAAAGGCTCAATGCACAAATGCAGGCTGAGCTGGTGTCTGTAGCTTTCACCTTTGTTTCTACGTATGTATGTATGTAGACAGTATCTATTCCATTGTCTTTTAATATTCAATGTCACAGTAAAATAGTTTGTTTCTTTTGTTCCTCGGGAGTGTCATGACTGCGCAGTCATGAACTTACTATTTCCCACGTCGTGCATTATTGTACACATTTCGCGTATGCATGCTTTGACCCCTACTATCTCTTACACTTAGTTACAGCCATATCTGTTGTAAGTTCAAACGGGAGTTCAAACTCTCGCTCCTTTTGGACGCCTTACGTCATAATCGTTTACCGTGTTTTTAGAGCGGAGAACAGTTTTTCTTCTTGGTCTAGTTTTCTGGTTTTTGGTATGGAAGTTGTGTCCGGTTAGACCTTCTTCTCGTTACAGTGTTTTCGATAATAGCACTTGATATGATGAGTTTTTGATGTTCTCACGACGGAGACGAGGGACTGTGATCACAGCCACCGTTGAACTGCCCTGGAGTGCAGTAGTAATAGTATTTTAGACCCCCTTATTTTCCCTCGTTTATGTCCGATCGTGACACATATAATATAACGATATCCCAAAATCGACTGGTTTACGTGTACCAAAGGTAACGATTCTCACTTATTCTCAACGCTCAATAGGACAGTATAATTATTATGTATCGATTTCTGTATAACGATTTCTATTTTAACGACAGATTTCTCCTCGTTAGCTCGTTAGAGCTAGCACTTCGTTATATATATGGCTTTTACAGTAAGTACTATACCGCATTGTCCGGAGTATAAGCTGAACACTCGTAATCCACCCCACACAAAGCTTTTACTATGATGCTCACAAATACTTCACGGTTCGCGTCAGACTCGGCTAGAGGCCGAGTTTTCCGCATCCGTAGGAATGCCACCACCCTTCAAGGATCAAGGTGCAATGGTCAAATGAACCGTTATATACAAGGTAGATGCCTGTGTTTCCTGACAAAAAATCTGGGTGCGGCTTTCACTCCAGTGCGGCTTATAGTTATACTGCGGAAAATAACGGTTCTCTGATAAGACTGTACACTTGTTTAGCATGGACATGATTCGGACCACGGGTGGATTACAGAAATCTGCACCTACTGTATACTACGCACACTTTCTGATAATTCCGCATGTGGTAGATCAGGCTACCGTATTTTCTGGAATTGGGGCAGGTCTTTATTACCCACTGTCTGGAATGCATGTAAGCGCCGCATCACTTCAGGCTTTTTTCAGTTTTTTGTGTTAGAACAACACACACTTACTCATTCACAGCTGCACAGTGCCAGGTTGTTCGCTCCGCATCATGCCATCGAGCATTCCAGTCCGTATCAGGCTTTCTTGGTGAAGACATGATCACCGCCTGCGCTCAGTGCGCTGCCCTCAAAGGTCTATGCCAGGCTCTTGCCCTGGGCTCGCGGTATACCCTCAAAACAATAATAACCCCAGCTTGATAGATTGATACTGTAGTAGCCGCTACTTAAAGGGGCACTCCGGCTTCATTTTCGACGCCGAGTTTTCGATGCCAAGACGAAGGTTGGTGAAAGAGAAGACCCCTCGAACAAGAACGAGTCTCCAGAAGCGATCGAGTCGAGCAGGAAGACGACTTTTGAATTTCGGCCGAGCGAGCGCTGATGACGTAATGAGGGATTAGCTTGCCAGTGGAAATGCATCTGCGCACATACATTTCACATACTTTTTGGCCAATTTTCAATCGAAGAGGAGGTTGTTTTCTATGTTCTCTCAACGTCGTGAGCGATCCCGTCTTCTATACCCTTCCAGGTACCCTGAAGGTCCTCCAGAGGAGAATTTATCTCCAGCAAAGCGTTGTTGATCCGCTAAATTGGTCTCGAGACATATTCACCCAGTGCAGGGCTGACAAATGTAGAATGTTGAATCTGTGATAATTGTCGACGATGGACGGAAAGGTTGATAGCCGCTGTCGCAGGGAAAGTGAAGCTGCTGGAAGTAACAACGGGGAGCTTGTTAGCATCACTTGATCAAAGCAGCTAGACGGACTCGGGGAGTACTGACTATTTGTCTCGCCCTCAGTTTAGTGAATTTTATGATCAGAAAATGTTTCGATCAGGATCCCTTCTACAAGATGTGTAGTACAGGTGATTTCTGAACTTGACGATATGGAGACCGACCAGTAGACCTACCAACAACGTGTACCTGCAGGAAATTCACCCAAAGCTATTGCTAATGCTATCCTCTTCAGTGGCTGTTGTTTTTTTAGTAAAAATGTGTTCACTTCTCTCAACATGCTCCTGCATGGCAGCAAGAAGGTGCGCTATGGAATTCAACGCCACAATCTTCGCCCAGCTGTGGATGAAGCATGGTCAAGTCATGGCAGTACATATACTTGAAACAGATGAGAATTTGAAGTTCATTTGTGATGCGAAGTTTGACAGCCCCAGTGACCGAGTCAAGCGCTGTCTTTTACAGTGGCACAAAAAATTAATTGCTGAAGAATCCGAGATGGTCTTGGAATTATGCACAGATACTACCAGAAATAATGGTGGCATGAACCATTGTGGAATGGGACAGCTCACGGAGAATACTGGAATAGCTCAAGTATCTCTAGGCGATTGTAAATCCTGTTCTGGCTGATAGCTTCGGCCTGCTGCGCCCGTCCATGTACAATGATGGGAACATGCATTTCTGTTTTCTACATATTTGCTATCTACTGTACTGTGGTATTACAGTTGCAGGTCCCTTATATAGAAATATGTTCAACCCCCCCCCCCCACACACACACATACCCACATAAATATGAACTAACAATTTCACTGTTGGACTCGCCGGCGGCTAGAGAGCAAAGGATTAATTTATAGCTAAGAAAAGGACCAGGGAACTACAAGTTACGCTATAATGTCCACGAACAATTTCACTGTATTTGAAATAATTTTGTTTGATACCCTGAGAACTCTGAAACTTTGCAGCACTGTGGATTATATGTGGATACAACATTTATGGAAGGAACACATAGTTCAAATAATTATAGCACTGAATAGTTGAGATTGCGAGCACATTCCAATCAGTACTCTACAAATTTATAAGCGGTGGCAATCGTTAGGAATAGGTCGTGAGTTGTCAGAGTGCTCTAGTATATGAGAGAATGTTTTGTTCGTCTAATCGACGGCTCGTTTGAAGCCAGAGTTGTTTGAACTTGTTTCAGTCGACTTGATTCTAGACAGTAGTCGAAGGAGTACTATGAAGTATACACCAGGCGTAGTCTGTAAGGTATCTCGTGAGAATTCTGTCGGTACACATCAGGTATCAGCTTGCAAAGATGGCTCCTCTCTGTTTCTTGAAAGCCTGTATAGTTGGACTGTGGCTCCAGCGATTCCCTTCTCAGAGCAGGTACCATACCCAATACGGTCAATGCATATTGGACAGACCTGTCTGCACAACAGAAATAGTGGAGAGAAATCTCTAAGCTCATGAACACATCAGTGAAGTTTGAACTGCCGTTGTTTGTGGCCATCAGTATAAACCTATCGACTATAAGAATAATGTGCAAAAAAACCCTCTATAACTACAGCTGGGGCCATGGAATTATAAAGCATCTAGCTTAGGAAACTGCCAATTCTGGTCGGAGGTTGGTTATCGTATGTTGCATTGACCAGAGATCATATAAAACTTCCATGCCACATTGAAACACGCACTACTTTCGAGTACTTTGGTATCCCCAACCAAATGGGCATTCGTTCCCGGGGTGGCAGGCGTCAACATTCGTTATGCCTGGATCAGATTTCATTGACCCCAACAGTCATGAAGAATCATTTTTACTTTGACTGGATTTCAGTACAAGTTAGTTGTAGAACTGCAGAATAAATTTTGTTGTATTTGGGCAACCATTTCTTTACAAACGCTCTATTAGGAATTTTTTTTATAAAATACATGTCCAAATTCCACATCTACCCAAATCGGAATACTTGATCACGTATTCAATCCTACACGGAATGTTTAGAAAACGCCAGGGAATAGGAATTTGCTAACGAGAACTCCAGGCCAGGGTACTAGCATACGAACAAAACAAGATAAAAACTCACCAGTATACTTGTAGTAATTCATGTCGGTGTAACTTAGTATTCACGATAAGCAACGAGGCACCCTCCGATTTGGTCAAGCTGCTTTGAAGTCTGGTTGTTCAGGTGATACAAACGGGCTCCCCGTTGTTACTTCCAGCAGCTTCACTCTCCCTGCGACAGTGGCTATCAGCCTCTCTCTCCATCGTCGACAATTATCACAGATTCAACATTCTACATTTATCAGCACTGCACTGGGTGAATATGTCTCGAGACGAATTTAGCGGATCAACAACGCTTTGGTGGAGATAAATTCTCCTCTGGAGGACCTTCAGGGTACCTGGAAGGGTATAGAAGACGGGATCGCTCACGGCGTTGGGAGAACATAGCAAATAACCTCTTCTTCGATTGAAAATTGGCCAAAAAGTGTGTGAAATGTATGTGCGCAGATGCATTTCCACTGGCAAGCTAATCCCTCATTACGTCATCAGCGCTCGCTCGGCCGAAATTCAAAAGTCGTCTTCCTGCTCGACTCGATCGCTTCTGGAGACTCGTTCTTGTTCGAGGGGTCTTCTCTTTCACCTACCTTCGTCTTGGCATCGAAAACTCGGCGTCGAAAATGAAGCCGGAGTGCCCCTTTAAATCTTTTACCAGCAAGATTCTGTGACGCGAAGAAGCGAGCTGCTACACTGAGCTGTCAGCTCAGGGCAAGAATTTCCCATGAATGATCTAGCTACCCGCGGCATGACAGTGAGTAGATCTACCCAACCCTCTTGCTAGTAGATCTACATGTACTAGTACTAGTAGTAGTAGCACCGCACACAACGACTGACTATCTAAAAAGCGGACGAAACGTGTTGAGTTTTATTTTGACAAAGTCAAAGGTGGAGAACAAAGCGCTAGTCGACTAGTCGAGAACAAAGGTTGACACAAACATGCCACTTCACGAGCAGGTACACTAGGTAAACGTCGCGCTTTGTTCGTTGAAGTGTCCCGAAGTGTCATGTACATGCCCCCCCCCCCCCCCCATAACAAAACAATGATGCACCGTACCGGTACGCGGTACATGTCATGTGGTATGCGACAATGTCATACCGTGCGGATAAGGTAGTTTTAGCCTATTTAGGTACTCCAGGCAGGAGGGGCAAGACCAGCAGTGATTAGAATCAATAAGGTGAAGAGAATTTCTGTGCAAGGAAGCAGTTTAGTGCTCAATGAAATCCAACCGAGTGAGTCAGCGTTGCGCCACTCAGCACAAAAGAAAATCCCGCGGGTCGTGCTGTGCAGTACCCGATGCGGGATGCGTACTTGACTCACACGATCGGATTTCATTGAGCAGCACTGTGATCACAAGAAACTACTCAATGAAATCCGATCGTGTGAGTCAAGCTCTCAAGTGGCACAATGATTCAGAGCCAATGGCAGAAAAGCATATTCGCACAGAAACGTGCAAGTAAGTTTGTGACGGCAAGCGGCGGCTGACTTTCGAGTTTCGACGCACCGAGCTGACTCGTACCGACCCGGCCGTGCACACCACCACCACCACTGCTGCCGTCCAGCACACATGCTCATGCGCACACAGCCGTGCACACATGCTCATGCGCACACAGCCGTGCACACACAGCCGTGCACACATGCTCATGCGCACACAGCCGTGCACACACAGCCGTGCACACATGCTCATGCAAACATGCTCATGCCCACACAGCCGTGCACACACAGCCGTGCACACATGCTCATGCCCACACAGCCGTGCACACACAGCCGTGCACACATGCTCATGCACACAGGGTTGTGCACACACAGCCGTGCACACATGCTCATGCGCACACAGTCGTGCACACACAGCCGTGCACACATGCTCATGCACACATTACACATGCACACAGCCATGGTCATGTGCACACACATTACACATGCACATAATTGGTGAATAAAAATTAAAAATACCATACCATACCAATACACATACTCAAACACACATACTCAAACACACATACTCCTGAGCAGCAGCAGTACTGCCAGTAGCAGCAGCAGTGCACCACATAACTACGACTCGTAGACTGCCCACAACACAACCAGAGCCGGCCATACAAACAGGAACGCTCGGTAGAAAATACTTAAAGTACTAGTGCATGTGCACTAAAAGCTAACCATCGCCGCTGACACGGACAGGTAAGTGAATACTACGAATAATCATGATCATAATAAAGGCCGTGTCCTGAAAGAACAATGTCATACTTGCAAGAAAAGGGCAAAAACGAAACTGCCACTAACTAATCATAGAAGGAAATAATGAAGTGAGCGAAAAAAAGTGATGCAGAATTGTAAGCAATGGCACAACCCGGTAATAAATTACAACAGGCAGAAGAGAGAAGATTGGTATAAGACATGCTAGGCCATGGTAGTACATTGAGCAAGCACTCAATGGTAGTACATTGAGCAAGCACTCAATGGTAGTACATTGAGCAAGCACTCAATGGTAGTACATTGAGCAAGCACTCAATGGTAGTACATTGAGCAAGCACTCAATGGTACTGTACCTTCAAATCACTCCAGTGTGGCTTGGCAGCATGCCCAATGGTTCAGTCTCTGCATTCTCAGCACACCGCGGTGAACGTGCGAGTGTACGATGCAAACAGCACCAGGGCATCAGCTGCACGATCCAACTGCACACACCGCGTCCCTTGACGACAGCAATACATGTACACACACAATCATATGATCAAGCCCACCGTGTGTACATGTCTTTGCTCAGCTGTACGTGACACAGAGCTTGTGGGGCATCAGCAGATCCATCCCAGCCTAGTTTGCTTTGCGTACCAACAAGACCATGCTGCGATCAAAGCGTGTGGTGATCGGGAAACGTAGTTTAATGTACTCGAGAGCATCCTCAGTTTGCATAATCTCAATGGTAAAGTTCTTGCCTGCATAGGCACACACAAAGACACACAGACACACAGAGACACATAGACATGCACAAACACACACACACACACACGTACACATACACACACACACACACACACACACACACACACACACGCGCGCGCACGCAGTATGCTATTGTAAGGTGGCCACAAGAGGCACACACACACAACCAATGCACACGCTGAAATTCAATTCTAGAACGGAGAACAGACAAGATCTGAATCATACAGAACGAACTAAAAAGTGGATCCAAACTAACAACTCTAGAAATGCCAGGCACACACGCACAGATGCACACACAAACACACACCTTTTGACCTTTTGACGCCCATCGCCGGAGGCGATGATAGCAATGCTACGGCAGAAGCCATAGCAACTTGTGCTGGGATTGCGCCATTCAACAGCTTGCAAGGCTGAAGATTTGACCGTCACTATTCAGCCTGGTCTACATCATACAGCTATTTGAAGTGATTTTTTCTGGCCAGTGAATCCCTATTTTTGGTCTTTTCATTTTTTTCGCACACACATCACACCACATACTCCGAGATGCACTGGCTGTTGGTAACCACCCAGGAGAATGAAAGAAAAGTCAGGAAGAGTCTGAGAAAGAGAAGAAAGATGTGTGTGACCATAATCGTCGGGAATCGAACCCGCAACCTATCGATTGGAAATCGCTGCACATACCACTGCACCATATGGCACACACAAACAAACACACACACACACACACACACACACACACACATACACACACACACACACACACACACACACACACACACACACACACACACACACACACACACACACATATATATATATATACATACATACACACACACTACGTCTAAGGAACAACTACACATACCAAAGGCGCTGGTGATTTCATCATTGGGAGTAGAGAATGGTGGTCCTGGATGCAAGGAATAGAGTAGAAAAACAATGGTAAGTTAGATACGCTCACAGGTCATTCGGACCATTGCTGATATCACTGAATGCACGATAATCACTTCTCTCTATCTATCTCGGTCTGTCTGTCTGTCTGTATGTCTGTCTGTCTGTCTTTCTCTATCTCTCTCACACTCTCTCCACACATACACAGAAAGACACATAGACAAGATGCAGACAGACAGACACACACACACACACATGCGCGCGTGCGCGCATATGCACACAGACATGCAGAGACTAGATACTTACCAGCATGTTCAGATTGCACATAGTCATAGACCTCCATCAGCACACGACCGCCTGGCTTGATCACAGCCGCCATGTTCTCTGCATAACTGTTACAAACAACAACGACGATGACAACAACAACAACAACAACAACAACAACAACAACAACAACAACAATATCGTGAGAATAAAGATTTGAAACAACAACAACAACAACAACAACAACAACAACAACAACAACAACAACAACAACAACAACAACAACAATATCGTGAGAATAAAGATTTGAAACAACAACAACAACAACAACAACAACAACAGCAACAGCAACAGCAACAGCAACAGCAACAGCAACAGCAACAGCAACAACAACAACAACAACAACAACAACAACAACAACAACAACAACAACAACAACAACAACAACAACAACAACAACAACAGCAACAACAATCTCTTATTGGCCACAGGTCATCGTGAGAATAAAGATTGGAAAACAACCTCAGCAACAGGAGCAGAAAGCACAGCACCACCACCACCACCGTCGCCAGCAACAGCATTAGCAGCAGTAGCAGCAGCACCACAACCACCAGCAACACCAACACAACCACCAGCACAACCACCAGCAACACCAGCAGCAGTAACAACAACAACAGCACCACCAACACAACCACCAGCACCAGTAGCAGCAGCAGCACTACCACCACCAACGCCGCCACCGTCACCACCAGAATATACATTGACTTCCGAGTTCTCAAAACACCTCTTTTCATGCTAACAAATACATGTCCAGCCTGCAGAAAAGACGGATTTGATCACCAAACAAAACCCGCAGTGGCCAACAATACGCATAGTTCCAGTCTGCCACTCACCGTGGACGAATCTCTGGACTCAGTGCTACATAGGAACCTCTATCCCAGGCAGCATCAACCTGACCAAGAGCAGTGCTGTACGCAGAGAGAAAGAAAAGAAAAGACAAAGCAGTTCCAGGAGAAAGATTCAGACACGTTCAAGCAAGAACATATAACCACAAGAGCCTGCAGCACAGGCAAACGTATCAAAGCAATGCATGCTGTGCGTGGCACGCTGCCTTCGATAACGCAGTACAAATGATGCTGCAGTTGAGTGGACTTGAAATTTCCTATGATAACCCAGTAAAGTTATCGCCCTGTCTGCACAGACACCGATACCTCAATACCATACGCTGTTCAATACCATACGCTTTTCAATATACCACACAGTGTTCGATACCACACGGTATTCAGTAAGCCCATTGCGCAATGACGTAATTTGCACCATGAGCACCCCAGACAGCCACCTGGGCATGGTTGTCTGGGGTGTTGAACAGTTCATTGCTGATCCCAGTGTGCTCACATGCATTACTCATACCTTCCATATTCGGCAATGCGCAATGGGCTTATACCACACGGTGTTCAATACCACACAGTGTTCAATACCACACAATGCTCTATACCGCAAAGGGGCAGAGCTTCCTTACACCGAAGGCGGGACGGGGTTTTGCTGGCTACTCCAGTTTCACGCTATTCAATCCTCAGACCACACAGCTCTACCCAGTAAAACGGTTTCCCGTTTCAACTCCCTCAAACGTTTGGATTTACAGTGAAACTTGTCTAAAACGACCACTCAATGTACCTTCAAAACGAGGTCTCTGTTACCAGGTGGTCTCTTTATCCAGGGTCATTTGACTGGAAATAGCATCCCTTGATCCTGGTTTCAGTGGTCTTCTAGGACAGGTGGTCTCCTTGACAGGTTTTACTGTACTTGTAAAACTTACGAATATACAGTAAAATCTGTCATGGCGACCACTCTGATATAGAGGACCATTACACCCTGGTCCAAGGGATGTCATCTTCAGTCACATGACCCTGGCCAAGCAGACCACCTGTACACGGGGACCACATTTGTAAGGTCTCAAGAACGGTCAGCTTCGGCAGACTTCACTGTATTTTTAACCCATTCAGCGCTACTGGGCCTTACCTATGCTACTCTGTGTATAGGTTTTTCCAACACATCAGAGCAGTTGTGCAACGCCATGGCCAAGTGTGCCTGTCGCATCCTCTATGTTTCTCTCTCGATGTGGTACTTTGTGGTAATATCTCCCCCCCCCCCCCCCCCCCCCCCCGATTCCCTAACCTCTATCAGTCATCCCTAGCTACACAGTCATTTATCAAACGCCTCCAACAGTATCTCGACCCATGGAACTGTGAGGAACTGGATCAGCTGCGCTATGAATGCCGCAGCACCCAGCATCTTCTGAGAGTAAAAGCCCGGACACCAGCACAGGCGATGCCAGAGCATTTGCAAACCGGGCAATGAATGGGAAGATGAGCTGCGTCATTCATATGCTGGCAGACGGTGGGTGGACTAGGAGGAGTGCTGAACCTCGATGGCATGGTCAATGGACACACTGGTCGGGATCTGCTCAAGTGCAAGCCCCCTGTGGAGCAGCCTGCTCATGCAGACGCAGATTCGCTCTACCGAGATGCCATCCGTAAAGCTGCCCTGCACACACAAGGAGCTGCTGGTCCATCTGGAGTGGATGCCGCATCCTGGCAGCATATGTGGACAGGTTTTTCAAGCACATCAGACACCAGAGAAGTCACGGTTTCAAAGTGGAAGCAAATTTTTGAGCTCCGCAGTTTTTAGTTTCCAGTTTCTCTGGCGGCCCTTCGGCAAGTCCAAGACGACTAATACTAAGTATTGAGTAGTATTAGGGCTCACCCACCCCTAGCTCTGGCCACCATGCCCCCAGCTACAAAGACCGCCCTCAAGGGACTCTCAGAGGCAGAGACGAAACCTTTGTGCTCCCTTCCGGGTATCGAGTCGTCTGTGCTTGAAGTAATCAAGACCCTGGCAAACCTAGCATCCGAGTCGGCCAATCGCGAGGCTCGCCTCAACAACAGAATTGATGAGCTGTCGCGGCAGGTGTCAGGCCTGACCGAGGAAGTTGTCTCACTCAAGGACGCCGCCATTACCAAGGCAAGTGTTCCCCCGAATTTTCAAGCTGCTTCGAGCGCACTTATCTCGATGTCAGGGTGTTTAACCCCTTCGTGCCGTCGAATCGTTCCTCCTCACTTGCTGCTTGCTACACCAAGCATGAGAAAGCCAAGAAGCGTGCATATGAGCAGCGTATCAGGGAGGTTGAACACTCCACATTTGTCCCTGTCGTTCTCTCAACGACCGGTGGTATGGGAAAATGTGCCAACTGTACCCTGTACAAGCGCATCGCCTCGCTGCTGTCAGAAAAGTCGGGTGAGCGCTATTCTCCAGTCATCGCTATGCTCTGCTGCCGCCTGTGTTTCGCTCTGCTGCGGGCCAGCCAAATGTGTCTGCGTGGTGCTAGGCGTGTGTTCTTGTACATCCCCACTTCTTCCACCGAGGTTGCTGTTGCCGAGGCTGCTATTCTATCCCATTAGTTCTTCTTTTCTCTTTGATCTCTATGATCCTTTCACCATCTTTTACTATCTGCCACGATATATCGTTGCATTTTTTTACCAGGCGTGGGCCATCCCCTGATTTCATAGGTGCCAAACATTTTACGTTCTTCATTCACTATAACAAAAGCTGCTGCTCTTTCGCGCTTTCAAAAAAAATTCAAGCTGCTCAGGAGAGCCAGCGTACGCGTACGAAATCATCTAGAAACCGCACCCATACCCGCGCAGGCCAGGCACTGCTAGTACCGGTGAGCCCCGTAGCGTGGGTGACACAGGCAGTGACCCAGAGGCCCCGAGTGAGGAAGACACGCAGCATGATGGACAGGACAGCGCGAGCATGGAACTTGTGGAGTAGGCGAGGAGTTCCAGACTCTGGACGTCATTTCCGATGATAGCTGGCAGCTAGTGCCATCAGAACCACCCAGACCCAAGAAATCTGTCCTGTATGTTGGCAACCTGAGTGAGTCATGCACTGACGACGACATCAAAGCCTTCACGATGAAAAGGTCAGGCACAGCCGGGACTCCAGCTACTGTACATAACTGCAGCATCCACAAGGCTGAAAATGGCAAGATATCTGCAAGGATTACAGTGGATGCCACTGCCCTCGCACTCATCACCTCACCAAACTTCTGGCCAAGGCCACTCTATGCAAGAGCGTGGAAGTTTACGCAACGTGCAGTTGAGCCTGATCGTGGTGGCGACTTGCCTCGCAGCTCGGGAGTTAACACGGAACAGTCCGACTTGGCAGAATCACTACTGCAAGTCTCCGGCTGCTTGTCACAAACGCCTTTGGGCTGCTGTCCAACCTCGGCAAGTTCCAAAACAATCTGAAATTAACTAAACCTGATATAGCGATCGTCACAGAAACAGAATTCACGCCAGACAAGGTTCCACTAGCCATCTCAACTATTCCTGGCTATGCAGCACCCATTCGCCAAGACAGAACTGCTTTAGGCGGGGGTGTAGCTGTCTGGGTGAAGTCCAACCGGCATGCTCGACACCTTGACACCATTGACTGTAAAGGTTTCGTGGTACTGTAGCGACCTGACTCACTAAGTAGTACGTCATTCTACAAACGCATACGCAAGAAATAAAATCAAGCTCTTTGGTCACAACTTCTTCGTTGTCCAGTTGGCCAAAGTAGCCGTCGTCTAGGGCCCAACGTAAAACCCTAAATTGGTGACCCCCGACGCTGCGCTCTTCGGAGTTTTGAGCATGCCATCCCTGAGCTCGGCCCGCCACAGTTTCCTGCTCGCCTCAACTCTCGGGATCCCGTCAATCGCCGGCTGTTGACGTAAAACTTGAGCCTCACCACCACTCGTCACAGGCCTTGGAGCTGCGCTCGCCTCCATCCACCCCCGCCTCACTCGGCACGCCTCGCCCCAGTGCAGCGCTCCTGCTGGTACCCCGCCAAGCCTGCAACATGCAGCCGCCTCTGACATGATAATACTCCTCTGTCACGCGTACATTTCCTTTCTTTCCGCCTCTGACACGATAACACTCCTCTGTCATGCGTACGTTTCCTCTTTTCTTTCTTTCTGCCTCTGACATGCTCTCCACCTCTGTCACGTTAACACACCTCTGACACGTTAACCCGCCTCTGTCATGCATCTCTCTCTTTCCTGCTTTTCTGATTTTTGTTTCGGCATTTGTGCCACGTTGTTTAACAAATTTCACACACGCAGCGCTCTCGCTTGTACATATGTATCATATTTTTTTTTTTGCCTTTCCGCCTTGTACATGCTGCGCTTCCTTTCTCTTTCTTGTTTCTTGTTTATCGTGCTTCGCTCCTCCCGACCTCACCACTGGCGGGGGAGTACTGTAGCGACCTGACTCACTGAGTATTACGTCATTCTACAAACGCATGCGCAAGAAAAAAAATCATTCTCTTTGGTCACAACTTCTTCGTTGTCCGGTTGGCCAAAGTAGCCGTCGTCTTGGGCCCGACGTAAAACCCTAAAGTACTATGGCTCCTAGTAGATCCATGCTGTCATGGCAAGGTTGTAGTCTGTGCTGTGTATCGTTCTGGTTCAAGCAGCCCGTCGGATTGCTCCGTCATCGACTACCTAGACAGCGCAGTACCTGCAGCACAGCAACTCGGTGATCATGTAGTCATTGCAGGGGACTTTAATGTCCACAATTCCGCCTGGCTCAAAGGTAGTAAAACAACATTAGCTAGCCTTGCACTGGAGGACTACCGCCTTTGCCGAAGCCAGTGGCTTTGGGCCACAGACTCTCTCTAACAGTTCAAAACTATTTCAATCTTGAAATTCTGATGGGACGGCACTAATAGTGGAGTTTCACACTCTTGGTAGTTTCGTACTCTTGTCCTTGAGCTATGTACTCTTGCCTTGGGTTGATGTACTCTTGCCTTGGGTTGATGTACTCTTGCCCTGGGGTAAGGTACTCTTGCCCTGGGGTAAGGTACTCTTGCCCTGGGGTAAGGTACTCTTGCCCTGGGGTAAGGTACTCTTGCCCTGGGGTAAGGTACTCTTGCCCTGGGGTAAGGTACTCTTGCCCTGGGGTAAGGTACTCTTGCCCTGGGGTAAGGTACTCTAGGTATACTGTATTGCTTGCTGGCACAGTTCTTACCAATCTACTTTGAACAAGTCCGACGGAAACAAAGAAAAGCAGTCGTTTTCACCAGCCTGTGCAACAAAGCAGGGTGTGTGCAAAACAGACCATGCACACGCGCACACACACACACACACACACACACACACACACACACACACACACACACATGCATGCGCACACACACACACACACACACACACACACACACACACACACATTCTTACATTGTACTTCAAGTGTGAAGCGCTGCAGATTTGCACAAACTAACCCAGCACTAACCAAGCACTGACCTTGCACTAACCTTGCACTAACCTAGCTGCCCCTCTTCAATTCCAAGCTGGCTAGAAACCTGACGTACACGTGTGGCCACTGATCAGGCACTTTTAAGAGTTCTGAGACTGCAGTGCGGCACGAGTCTGATCGTGAACTTAAGTAAGAGTGACCAAGCTACAACAGCGGCATTGGTGACATAGTGATCACTTCTGCCCACGGCTGTGAAGACGTCTCTCCAAGAGACTGCTCCACAGCCAGATGGAAGGAACAAACAAGCTACGGGGCCACAAAACATTACCCCCCCCCCCCCCCCCGTCATCAAGACATGGTCAATGAGCATGATTCACTCGGGAGTCGGGATGATGTGTTCGCAAATGTAATGAATGAATCAATCATGATAATGTCATTGCAATGCTATTGTGAAAATGGGCTTACTGTTCTTAAAACAGCACACAACCCACCTTGATAAGGGTTACCTCCTCTCCGTCACCATTTTTCACGGAAGATACTGTCGAGGTCAGCTTGTTTTCGGAAACGAAGTCATCCAGTGCTTGTCTCACAAGATCAACACCGGAAATGTGATGACCTTGCTCATTTAGCCTGCAAACAAAAAAGACAACAAGGCGAACAAACCACATCATCAGAACTCTTCGCTGACACAGCATCGACACCCTGGAAGTGCCTAATGGTCATTGTAGTTTATAGTGTTCATCGCAGCATTGTCTCTCTCCGTACTCTCTCTCTCTCTCTCTCTCTCTCTCTCTCTCTCTCTCTCTCACTCTCTCTCTCTCTCTCTCTCTCTCTCTCTCTCTCTCTCTCTCTCTCTCTCTCCCTCTCTCGTTCGTATTATAATGCACATGCTCTGCTAATAAATCAGTCCTTGTCCTGTCCCGCAGTGGACTCCTGTGTGGCTTGCAGGCCCAACATGGTGGGATTCGAACCCACGCCAGAGGAGACACTGGAGCCAAGTCATTCTCCATACTATGCCACAAAAACACAATCCATGTCATCAGAGGAGTTGGAACGGACAGCTAAGAGGGCATACCGTATTTCCCCGATTGTAAGGCGCACTCGATTATAACTTATAAGTCGCACCGCCACTTTGAGGTTTGAACCACATTGCTTCAATCCATGCATATAAGTATGATGTCACACTCGATTGTACGTCGCATCCCCTTCTTTACCCTTGAAGTTTAGTGTAAAAAGGTTCGACTTATATCCGGGGAAATACGGTACATCTAGCTGTATCTATTGAACTGTGCGAAGACTCCATCAATGCAGTATCATTACAGGTAGACTCCCTTTAATTCGAACCTCAAATTGCCAGGCCCTAACTTCGAATTATCCGGAACTTCTAATTATCCAAATGCAGCCCCATGCACTGATGTGTATGTCAAAATGCTTGAAATCGCATGCTGAATATTTTTTGCACTTTTTTAGTTGCATCAACGAAACATAGGTGGTCGTACCGGTCATGTACAACGGATCATCAAAACACTGGATCGACACAAAATCATTTGACATTATCTTCATCTTCTAGTGAAGAAGTTGTCAGTCACTGCAGCTTTCCTGAAACACTTCAACAGAAAAGAACTGCGCTGCCTAATCCGCGTCATGAAAGACCGTCGGACAGCAGCACGTCGTTCTGAAGAACGGAAGTGGAGCATAGGCATAGACAATATTTACGACAATAGTGTTGTTGTGCGCCAACATCTCCGCGCACGAGCTGGCGCGGCAAGAAAGGCCACTGAAATCCGCGAAGAGAGTCAGCCACCTGGAAGAAGTCGTCTTCAATCAAACCTTTGCAATTTGCCTCGCACGGGCTTGAATCAAATTTCGAGAGAAGGTGGGTTTCTTGAACGCTATTAGTTGATCCTGCAGCGGACCATCGATCGATTTTTGAGCTACTCTTGGCTAGAGAAGGAGAAAAGAATGAACTTCGAATTACAAGGATAGCAACTCAATCTCACTTCGAAATAAGCGTTCAAAGGACATAGCGAATGTACTGTAAACAGCTCTTCTGTACGAAGACTGGGTTCGAATTATCCAACCGGCGCACTTTTCGTACTTCGAATTATGCATTCGATTTTGACTTGAAGTGACTTGCAGAAGATTGGTACGACGAAAAAGTTCGAATTACGCGGAATGTTCGAATTATACCGTATTCAAATTAGAGGGAGTCTACCTGTATATACGGGAGAAAATGTAGTTAAAACACACCATACTTCGAACATGTGACCCTGTGAAATGGGCAGAGTGTTGTTCAAGTGAAATGGCGATCAAACACACACTTATGGACAGCATGTCGCTGGGTTGACAGCAAAACAGACTTACGGTATTTCCCCGGATATAAGTCGCACCTTTTTGCTCTAAACTTAAAGGGCAAAGAAGGAGGTGTGATTTGCAATCGAGTGTGACATCCTACTGATGTGAACATACTGAAACAATACGGCTCAGACCTGAAAGTGGGGGTGCGACTTAGAATCGAGTGCAACTTATAATCTGGGAAATACGGCACACAAACGCTGGACGCAATAGATCAGTCAGTGTGATCCACCCTATAAATAAACTAGTGAGTAAGAATCCACAAGTTTCAGAAATTACGACGTTAAACACAGGAAGCAACAGAGGTCCCGTGTTGGTCCACCTAGAGCATGATCTGTTGCTACTGTGACGGTCAGCCCGGGGGAAAATCTAGAAAGAAAACAAATCATGGCAGATATGTGTAAAGTACTCACCACAGCATGTCAACCGTTTTTCCACATAGAGGTACAAACACATTCAATTTCTTCTCGGCATTCGCACCTTCCAGCAGTCGACCATGATACTGGACTAGGCGACTGCAGGAAATGGAAATACAAAAAAATACAAGGGAGAGAGGGAGAGAGAGAGAGAGAGAGAGAGAGAGAGAGAGAGAGAGAGAGAGAGAGAGAGAGAGAGAGAGAGAGAGAGAGAGAGAGAGAGAGAGAGAGAGAGAGAGAGAGAGAGAGAGTATTTGGGTGATGGAATTCCCTGTAAGGGGGTTGATGCACCTCAGCGTACATGTACGACAACACGCAAAACGTGTGTCAAGATGAACTTATGATTTCGATTGTATACACGATGGTTTTGTATGAACGGATACCATAGCACTATCAGCAGGTGACCACCTCCACTGTAGTGGAAAAATGGAAACAGACCTGTCAGCCTGGCCACAAACACTGTCTTGATTTTTGAATGTGCCATTACGGGACTCAAACGGTCATTGAAACAATCGCCCCCGCACACCGACACCACCTCCGGGGGCTGTGAACGCTGCAGAGCACGCAACGGGCATGACTTGGAACACAAAACCACTTGCTACCCGGGTAAGTCAAGTCCGTGTGCATTCAAGTAAGTGTCCATAGCCCAACAATATGCACTTGCCTATACACTGTACTACGGAGATTTAGCATCACGAATTTCGCGTTTGAGTTCGTTAACATTTTTCAGTTGGCGAACTGGACTGCGAACTTTCGCACTTTTCGTTCGGAAAAGCTGTCGAAACACAAATCGCAGATTCGTGTCGGGATAGTCATAAATTTACAACTTTGTACTGTCGGTGCACATGTACGACCTGTCAACGTCATTCAAGTGCAAATTCTGTTTGCTCATCCTCATCATAGCGCAATTTTCGAGTTTGACTTTTATTGGAGTGCGAACACGAACGCAAAACTCGTCTTGCTAAACCTCCATATTGTCTCTATCTAGTAATGCAACAACAGAGTTTCACATCACATGACATGCTTCAACAGGTTGCGCCGGCAAATGGTGGAAAATGGAGCTTTAGCCAAGGCTGGGTTTGCTCATAGCACTGCAGTGATCACGCACAGAATGCAGACAGTGTACAGGGGCTTGTCACGTGATGTGAACGTCTGCCATCACGAACCCCATGGACTGGAGTTGACAGTGCCATGGGAATCGGCTGGCCCCCTCAAAACATTAACCTTTCCCATGTGCTAGTCCCACCGCGCGATCAACTTCTGGCACAAAGTAGCATGTTTGTTGTTCACGCTCTGACTTCTCCGCATAGTTAGTTTGCGTGAGATGACACCGTGATATTTTGACCAGCTTTCCGTCACCGGTGCATCTCTCACTTCACCCGAGACTGATTGATCGAGTAGACATTTTTTTCAGAAACATTCCATGCCAGAAAAATATTTTTGTAGCTTACTCGTTGACTTCATCGCGATGCCATCCCGTCCGGCCGTCTTTCCAACGAGACTCCCAGTCTAGATCAGGCTTTTGCGACGAAGACATCACTAGTCTTTCCTTACAGAACAACTGAGCCAGCTGTCTTGAAGCTCGCTGAATAAATCCCATCCAAGATGTTTTCAGGATCGATCATGTGCTTTCTGCTTTGTTTGAAATTTCGTATCTTGCAAAAAATAAATTATTCGAAACAAAGACAGTTTTGCGCTGACGTGACGTCATGACGTGACTGACTCATGCTCAATATTGACATACACTTAAAGGGGAAGTATTAGTACGGGGGCCAGGGTTGAGAAATGTGAAGTTTCGTTTCCACTGAGAGCGCACAACAAAAGATGTACTTTATCTTGTAGCCCTAGTCGTGTAGAGTCGCCTGATATATTTTTCACCACTGGAATCGGGATGGAACGGTGTGAAATTGGCATTTGAAAGTTTCCCATGGGTTGCCATAGCAACCGCATAGCAACAGTATGGCAACAGCGTGTTTTTCATGTTATTTTCTTCCACAGAAGCTCCAAATTTGTTGAGAGGTACATACTATGTATGTATTCGTGTCAACTGGCACTGCTACTAGTAAAACATACATGTACATGGAGTATCATGCACATCGTGCACTCTATTGTATCAATGCGAATAGTCATGTACATGTACATGTACTACAGCATTGTGTACATTATATGTATCAAATCAGAACACAGTGTACTGGCATGAAGGAAGCAGCTGACTATTTCACCACACGCAGAGATAAAGCATACTTTATTCCGCAGGGTACTTATACAATCATGACTTCCAGCACGGGAAGTCAGTCATAAGTATGTACAAAACATGTACATGCACATTGGTTACGATTCCAGCAGTCATGCGCATAAAAGTAGACAGAAGGCCAGTTTCGATGGCTCACAAGAACATGACATAATTATATATTTCATTGATAATAATGTGTACAAGAGCATGGACATTACAGATGCTGTCATCAAGTTTGACTTCAAGTCGACTCCGGAGAACCACAGAGCGGTTTGCAGGCATTGCAAACACAGGCTGAGTCGCCGAGACCATTGTCAATGAGCGCTTTCGCTTCGACGTTGACAGTGTAGGCAGAGAGATGGAAGTCGCTTCACTTGCTACCGATTCATCCTGCAGAGAAGGCTGTACAACGATACCATTTGTACAGTGCGTAGTCGCAAGTCCGCTCAGTGTCTCCTCGCAAAGGTCATTGTTATCTCACACGAAATGGTACGGCTTGCGAGTGTCGATGGCGGCAGGCAAGAAAGACTGATTGTGCTGATGGCGTGTAAAAGACTCTGCCAAGCAAGTCTCCAGCTCCAGTACCTGGCTGTAGCTACAGCAGTAGCCAAGACGATTCAACATGGTAACTATCTGCTTACTGCGACACAGGTGATGGATTGCCATGCCCAGCACAATGTGTTTCGGAGTTCGGTAACCAGTGCCGCAAAACATAAGATCCTGGCAGATGGCATGAATACGGCGTTGCAGAACACTCTCAAGAGACGGCAAGCGGCACGTCGAGAATTCGGCATCCTTGTCCAGGGTCCATGCAAGAAAATTAAAGAGCTTGTCAGGAATCAATCGCGCGCTATCCTCAGGAGACAGCCGTGCACCGCTCAGGTCTTGCTTCGTGGACTTGACATGGTGCTCGATGGATTGGCGGAGGATATTTGCTGCATGATATAAGACTCTCCATTCCTCACACTCATTGGTCCAGACAAGGCTACTCTCCACTTTGGCAGACTCATCCTCAGAATCATCCTCAGACTCCTCCCCAGACTCACTGCAATAAGGATCGGCGGGCACTAGGGGTTCATCTTCTGCAACTTCCTCCTTCAGCAGTGCAAACTGATCAAGTTGTCAGTCGAGCTAACAGCATACAACAATTCAGGGGCGTTGCAGCGAGCTGGCCTGACAAACTTAACAACGCCATCAAACTCTATCAAAATGATGCTCTTCAGTTTTCGATTTCTGACCTGAGTGCAGAAGTTGCCACTTTCCTTGTTACAGCAGGTCTGGAAGATGGACTGGAGATCAGCAGAGGTCAGGAGTGCAGAATTGTCAAACAATTCTTGACGCACGACCTCAAGAAACTGGGCAACTACTTGTTCCTCCGAAGGAGCCTGTCCACCAATTCCCTGAGGGTCGTCACCAGGATCCTCGACCTCCAATAGTCTTGTGTACTCTCGGAAGCAGTGCCGATGGTAGTGAACTTCACGTGCTATGAGGCAAGACAGAGAACCAATAGCTATTACAACAGCCTCGTCTTTCCGCAACTTAGCTGCGTCTAGCACTTTCTGGGTAGCGTTGTGTGACTGGCACTGCGAAGTTTTCTGATACTTGTGCTTCTTTCCCAGCTGAAATATCTGACAGAATATGCACTCCTTTCGCCCTGGCTCTACAACTGGTACAGATAGACTTTGCCGAGTTGTCCGCTGGGGACAGTCTGCCTGTGACATCGACTTTCCAGAACCTCACCACCCGAAAACAAACTACTTACTAGTATGCGTGAGAGTGCAAAAAGGCAAAAACGGAGAAGAAGCGCAAGTATACTACAAATATAGTAGTAGCAAGAGTACATGGGTTATGACTTATGTACTCTTGGTAGTAGTGGTACGTGAATCGAAACATCCGAGTTTTGAAACTTGACACTCCACGTGGACCGCTGAGCACGTGAGGTGTGAGACTAGACTCTGTACGCGTGTTTCGCGCAGCGCAGACTATGCTCAGTTCGCCGTAAAATGGACGGGACAGTCCCGTGAGGAAAACTTACCGTTGCCTGACTGCTCGCGCGGAGAAGAAACTCAGCGCAAGAGACAAGCGGCAATGGCTGAACAGGTGCGAGAAAAGTTACTCGATGGAGGCCTTCCATTCGCATTTTGAAGCATTTTTTTGTGGATTCCGTGTCAGGAAGGCCACTGCTTTCATTATCTGCAGTCAAATTGTTGTGCGGACGAAGTGGAAACGAAAGTTTTTTTCAGCCACTTTTTTGATGCCTGGCCCCCGTACTATATACCCTAAAATCAAATTTTCACCAGTTATAGTCTTCTGGGTGCTGAGTCGAATGGTCTTGGTCCGAGGAAGCTGCGACGCTCCCTTCCTACTTGAATCCCAATCGAACTCGCGCACTTCCACCGAAACTGGGTGACTGCGCCCTACTAGATGGGGAATTGTATGCAAAATGTCACTAAAAGCGCCATTTCGTTCTTATAAAAGCACGGATGACCGCGATTGGCCCATATGTTGTACTCTTTTGGACGCTGAGTCGACTGGTTTTGGTCCGAAAAGGCTGCGATGCAGCGTTCCTCCTTTATTCCCAATCGAACATGGTTGAACAAGCGGTCACGTGCTCCTGGGTGCCCAAATCACCTGGTCACCACGCCAGCAGGCGACAAATTTCACACCAAGGTTCAACTCGAGTTCAACTCGAGTGACAGGAGTGCACCCAAAAAAGGTCAAACAGGCTAGTAAGTTGTACCCTGCAGGCACGGTGACCAGGTGACTGGTGTACGCAGGAGCACGTGACCGCTTGTTCAACCATGTTCGATTGGGAATAAAGGAGGAACGCTACATCGCAGCCTTTTCGGACCAAAACCAGTCGACTCAGCGTCCAAAAGACTACAACATAAGGGCCAATCGCGGTCATCCGTGCTTTTATAAGAACGAAATGGCGCTTTTAGTGACATTTTGCATACAATTCCCCATCTAGTAGGGCGCAGTCACCCAGTTTCGGTGGAAGTGCGCGAGTTCGATTGGGATTCAAGTAGGAAGGGAGCGTCTCAGCTTCCTCGGACCAAGACCATTCGACTCAGCACCCCGAAGACTACAACTGGTGAAAATTTGATTTTAGGGTATACTTCCCCTTTAAGTCCTTATGCACATTGTACAGATGTACGAAGTAACAAAAGTTCTGTACTATGGCCGTAGGTGTGTACATACCCGGTTGGGTGTTCATTGTGTGCTATACATGCGCGTTTGACCCATTTAGCCTCACAATTCATGGCAAACGATCACTTTTGAAGCCTTCTTCACTTTGGGATTGAACTAACGACTAACTAGATCTCTGCCGGAAAAAGATTTCGTATGAAATGCTTTCATGGCCCATTCATAGTGGAAATAGCAGTAAACACAATACGGTCCTGCACATTCAACACCCAACCGGGTCTACGGGATTCTACAAGATTATACGGGATTTCGTGCATCTGTACAATGTGCATAATAGTCCATCAGCCAGTGGTGCCAAAGTGAGTCCCCTGTTGCACTTACAAATCGAACACCTGGAACTGACATCAATCGACAGCAAAAGCATCACTGAATCCGACCTGCCTTCTTTCCCTGGCGAAACTCTTGCACTCCTTTTGCAGTGCGCCTTGGAAGTTCGACAAATTTCTTCTTCTTCATCAGCCATTACGAGGTTTTCCATCCGTTTTATCAGGATATCCAATGCGTCTTCAGTGAAAAACGTGGAGTTTTGTCAACGTTTGGTGTGGTTTTCCGTGGCGATCGACCTAAACTCGCGAAATAAATCGCCGTCGATTTGAGCAGAGGTGAGTTGGCTTGGAGCACGTACAGATTCAAAAAATATGTGTACATGTGCACCGGGAAGAAGATGAAGATGCTCACCATTTTCAAATAACTAATTCAAAAAACTACATGACTATTGTACTGCAATTGTTGTAGTTACTTGTTTGCAACTACAATGGTATCAAGTAGATAATCAAGCGAGGTAACGTTACAGAGGGATTGATGGCTGATCAAAGCCCAAGGGACCAGCCCGAGGGCTTTGATCAGTCATCAAGCCCGACTGTACCTCGCTTGAATATGCTTCAGACGATCCCCAACAATTATTTTGATTTTGAATTCAATCGCTTTATTCTTTGGGTGATCTCGAGTGTGGTAGATAGTACTTCCAAGTAGTACAACTGTAACTGTACTACTACCTGGTTGCAACATGTTCAAAGCAGCCTTGCCTTTATTTCGACTGTTTGCTGTCAGCATCCAGAGCCATGGCGTTTGCTAGTTGGTCGTAATGGAGAAGAGAACTGCAGGGCATTCACTCGATGTACAACATGCATCGCCGCAGATTCCTTACTTTTAGCTCTCCACGTTCCTTATTTTTCCAGGGATCAGGACCTTCCCGGGACG